CCTCCGCCGTTTCCCTGACGCCGGCGACAGCATTCGATCGTGCGGACATTGGCTCGACCGCACTCCCAACAGAATAACTTCCGTGCATTGCGGCATCGCCTGGCATAATGTCCTTCCTGCCCACACCGCCCGCATACGTTGTTGGGGTCGAAGCTCTGCTTCCTGGATATGCCATGACGCTGTGTGTCCGTCGCTGAGTGGTGTGACGTAACTGGCGGGTGGTGTTTTGTCGTCCGCACCTGTGGGGTGCGATGAGATGATTCGCCTGGTTGCGTGGTGGTCCTCATCGGGTTGTCGCCGGTGACATGCCTTGCCACCTCTCGTCGTGATGTTTCCGCCGTCCGTCTGTGGCCTTCGTGGATACACTCGTACTCCTCCGCGAGCGTGAGTAGTTCAGCTAGAGTGGTGAAATCCCGCCGCCGAATATATAACAAGTAGTCGGGGCGGCTGTTGCGGAAAATTCTTTCCAATCGCTGCTCGCTACTATAGCCGACGTGCCGCATCAGGTTTTGTATCGCGATTACATACTCCTTATATTTCTCCCGTGGGTGCTGCCTTCTCTGCCGTATATCGTCCTCGAGGCGTTCGAAATACCGAGTTGGCAGAAAGAAGCGTAGGAAGTCGCGCTTGAAGGTTATCCAGCTACTCCAGTGTTCGTTGTTGTTGCGGTACCAGTGAAGAGCGGTGCCGCACAGTAGCTCGGGCATGGTTTTTGGGAGGAGGTCTACGTTCAAGGCATACACCTCGGCCAGCTCCTCCAATCGCTCTACAAAAGCTAGCGGGTCTCGTCCACCGTCATATTTTACTGACCACTTCCTTACCTGGTCGATGATAGGTGCAAACGTGTGGATCGGTGCCTGATTCTCGGGGTTGGCTGTACCTGCGTTCGGCTCGACGGTTGTTGTCGGCGGGTGCTGGTAAATTGGTGGCTGATGTGATGGCAGCTGGTGCTGGTGTAGCGGTACCGCCAACTGGCTCTGTGTCGTGTTTTCCATAGGAGTAGTCGTACTCCCCGTACATTCCTCCGGTGGTACTGGCGTCTTCTGCTCTTCCTCGTCTTCCGAGGCAACCTCTTTGTCTCTGTTGGTGATTCCCATCGTNTCTTCCGAGGCAACCTCGTTGTCTCTGTTGGTGATTCCCATCGTCTGGAATTTGGCATAGATCTCTGGGTCAGTGTGCGCCTTGGCCGCTAGCGCCGTTATGCGCTTGCGTATTTCTCGGGCGGTACCCGCGCACTCGATTCCCAATTCCTGTGCGATGGATACTAGTTGCTCCTTGGGTATATCATCTAGCCATGCTGTGTTGATTACTTCCGCCATTTTGTTCGTATCAAACATATAATAATTTTTCCTTTGCACGCATACGATCTACCAAGGGTCCCTGCTCGGGCGCCAATTGTAACGAAACGTTTTGCTTGCCCCGATGCTTCTTCTAGAATGCTGGGGTATACTCGCCGTGTCCAGGGTTCGTTACAATAAATTTTTAGTTTCGGGGCTCTGGTAAATCGTAATTTATTATTTAATTTTCCTTAATCTCTATAAAAGAACATATAACAAACAATAATTTGAAACATTCGGTAGCGTCACTTGCAGTGACTGGGTAACGGCTCCTTGTCCCGTTATGAGCCCGTTAGGCTTTAGTGGCGTCACTTTGGTACTGGTGGGCAGCGCTCTGCTGACGCCGCTGAGTGGCGCGCTGCTGGCGTCTATAAGCGGTGTTCTGGCCGCGTCGGTATGTAGCGCTCTTGCAAGGTGGGTTGCGCTCTGGTCTTGCCGGTGAATGGCGTTCTAACAGCGCTAGTGAGTAGCGCTCTGGTGACGCCGGTGTATAATGCTCCGGTGACGCCGGTGTGTAGTGCTCCGGAGAGTAGCGTTCCAGTTGCGTCGAGATGTAGCGCTCTCAGCAATGTAGGTGAGGCGTACCGATGAGTGGTACTTTGATGGCGCCGGGAGTGGCGTTTTACTCGCGCCGCTGGGCGGCGTTCTGGCGACGTCGACAAGTGGCGCTCTATTCGCGCCGGAGAGTACCGCGCTAATGACGCCGGAGAACATAGTCCCACTCGCGCCGTTGATAAGTGGCGCTCTGTTCGCGCCGGAGAGTCGCTCTGGTGGCGCTGTTGATGCCGCTCCGCTGACAGCGGTGAGAAGCGCTGTCGACGTCCCTCTGCTAACGGCAGAGCTGACTGCGGGCGAGCGGTTGTCGCCCGTACGCGGTGCCACGAGAGGCTGTGGTGAGAGCGTGTGTAGCTTGTGGCGNGTCACTTCTTGCCAGTAGCCGTATGTTCACGACCACAGTCTCGTGCTGACTGACTGGTTTCTTGTCGTGCTACTCTTTTAATAGGCTATGTGCTTGATGTTGCGTGGTCGCGCAGCTACATGTTGCTGTGTGATGTTGTGTTGTTATCTCGAGTGTTGCTATGACTTGTGTTGCCGTGGTTTGCTGCGTGGCCAGTTGCGCTGACTTGTGTTGCTGTGGTGTGACTGGTTTGGTTGGTAGTGCGGGAGATTGTGTGGGCTAAATTCTCTGGGGACATTTAGTCCTCACAGTGTATAAAGTTAGCGAAACAACATCAAGCAAAAAATGTCGCATATACCCATGAATTTTCCGTTTTTTTGCCGTTAATTAGTTGTGGAAAAAATAATTTTGTCGCTCCGGTATTTTTTTTAGATATAAGGTGTTTTGCTAACTTTATATAAAGTTAGCGAAGCACCCCTCCAAACTCAAAGATAAACGACTAGGCTTTATGTCAAAACTTGCCGTTTTTTTGCCGTTCTAAGATGAGCTAGTTTACTTTTGAAAAAAATAAAAAAAATAAAATAAATTTTTTTTTTTCAATGTTCAATAATTTTTAGAAGAAAAGGATAATAATTTAATAGAAAATCAAACCCGGTTTCTTTATGTACCATTTTGAAATTTACTTTTTTGTCGTTTAATTTTTTTT